CAGGATTTCCATTTTGTTTTATATACTGGCAGCGCCTTAATCATGAAGATTCTCGCTTCTCTTTTTAACTCAGAGTCAACGGAGAAAACTCAATGGAGAGCCCAAACGATCCTAATTCCTGGGGAAGCTATGGAGGACGAAGTAAGGTCTAAGGTTTCTAGTTCCTTTGCTTGACATATTTCTTATATATTGCGCCTTAATTATAATAGTATTCCATTTCCATCCTTAATCTATGACAGTAAGGTTTGCAGAAGATCAGTTCCCGAGTACTAGTCATCAAAATCTCCAAATAGAGTCGATGAGGCAAGAACCAGGTCAGGATTTCCTGAAAATATTGAAAGCTAATCATATAATTTACATGGCAATTGCTTTTTTTCCTTTTTCTTTTTTAACAAGTAAATTTTGGGGGTGGGGAGGAATAGAGGTTAGAGAATCGAATCCAGCTTTCGGGCTAGAGTTTGTGCACCTTCACCAGTTGGCATCAAGGGCCAAGTGCAGACAGCGATTGCTTTAAATGTTTAAAAGGAATAAATTTTGAGTCTTCTCCTCATCCTTTGATGTTCTTCTTCCATAAACATATAAAAAAATTAAGATTTATACCTTGTTTGGTACAGGGAGAGGGAAGGAAATGGGAGAAATTTTTTTATTTAGTTAAGAAAAATAATTGGAAGAAAAGGAAAGAGAGGGCAGAAATATTCCCTTATTTTTCTTTAATTTCTTTTGCATTTTAGCGTTTCATTTCCTCTTCCCCTTTGGTTCCTTCAAACCAAAGAGGCTGAAGGTTTTTCGTTCTTCTTTCTTTGATAAATTTCATTTATAATTATGAAATTTGTATATAACAACTGGGTCTATAAAAAAAAAGAAAAGAAAAAAAGACTTAAAATCATATTATTTTAATAAAATATCATAAAAAAAATTAAACACACTCATTTCTGTTTAATCAGAATGTTTTAGTTTTTTTTTAATAAACATTTACTAAAATTACATAATTTTGAGATTTTTTTACCTAATTTTTTTCAGTTATAATTGATAAACAACTTTTCCTATGATGAATTTTAACGAGTAGGTCTGCCCTGGAGAAATGATTCCATAAATGTAAGCAGTGAGCAAAGTCTGCCCGTGATCAACCAGATCTCTGCCAGAACAAAGCCGATCAGTCGACAACAATCAGGTTACACCAAAGCTAATTTAAGTGTTTAATATAATATTAATATCAAAGTCAATTAGAGGCCAAACACCCTCTTAGTGGAAATTAGTTGCACAACTTTTTATTTAAAAAATATAGTAAATGTTATTATTATAATTTAACCCTTATTGCTAATGGTGATGGCGTAGGATTTTTTTTATTTAATTGAAATCAAGGGTAAAATTGAAAATATAAGCATCATATATTGTAACAAATGAAGTTTAGTTCTTGATAATCATAAATGAATATATTTAAATTTTATTTAAATTTATTTAATATATTTAATATACAAGCATAATTTATTTAATATATTTAAATTTTATTTAAATTTTATATTTAAAATGCTAAAAAATTAAATTAAATTAATTAAAATTAAACAGAGACATAGTATCTACCACCTTACAATGAAAAAGGATTTTTTGCTGTAAAAACATGAGTTTAAAACAATATAAGACAATAATAAATATTGCCCCCCAACCTATGTTCCTGGACCGTCCTTGCAGGTAATACCGAACAATTTTTACAAGATTTGATCCTGAGCAATCCCGCCAGTGAGCAAAATCTTTCCAATCCGACGGCAGCCGAAATAGGGTCGATGAGGCAACAACAGCTAGATCCAGATCAAACCCAACATGCAGATATTTCGGCTGCAGATTATTCAATAACAAATTGTATTCCTGAAAATACTGCACCAGACCAGCGTGCCAAAAAAAGAGAAGCCGATCGAAGATATAGAGAGAAGAAGAAGGTAATTAATAATCTCTCCTTAATTGGGAAAACCTAGTGAATCCTTGAATTTCTAGAAGATAAGCTCATTCTAACTACTACCTTTGGAAAATGCTAAGTTTTAGGAAAATAATCGAAAGAACTTTTTTAATTATATATCATTTAATTATTAATTTTTTTCACTCTAACTAGACTTATAATATTATATATATATTTAATAATACATAAAAATTATATAAAAATATCTTTCGTATATAATCTTCCTAAACTTATAACGTTTTATATATTGGAG